TACTGTTATCCAGGGTCAGAGAAAGGGTCTGGGTGGGATTCCGTCACCTTAGGCAGCCGGGACCCCCGATGTCAGTGCAGTTGGTGGGCACAGGGTGGGTTTGGAAGGGTCCCCGAGCTAGGTGAGGGTCGGGAGGGCGTTTCTAGCTCGGCCCTCCCTCACCTGGGAAGGGCAGCGTTGGAGAGTCCAGGGAAGTCTGGGAGGGCGCTGGCCTTTTCTGACTGCCAGGCTCTCTTGGGCACAGGGGCTGTCATCTGCGGGGCAGAGGGTCCCCTCAGCTGGCTCCCTGGCGGTGCTCGCCCGCGTCTGTCTCTGGGAACAGGAACAAGTCCCGTGTGTACCCGGTCTCTGCCCGGAAGCTACCCTGGCCAGAGCGGAGCCTGTTGAGGGCCAGGCGGTGGAGGCCTCCAGAAGTCCCTCAAGGCAGGGGGAGGGCACAGCCAAGGGTAAAGGTGGACGGTGCCCGGGGCACTGGAGCCAGATGCTGCTTACTGTTTCCTCAGGGACCTATAATCTGAAATGCTACGATTGTTGGACCATCAACAATTTTAAGTGTCCACAAATTACGTTGTGTCCAACAGACCTCAGGCGCCGTATGACCATCTCTGTTCGTAAGTACCTGTTTGTCTTCCTTGCGCGTTGTGAATTAGGCACCCCACCTGAGCACTTTCAGGGAGCTGTCTGATCTGCTCTGTCTTGGACCCAGCCCCGTGGCCCTTGGCCTGCTCTGTCCCCATCCTGAGAGCCCACCCCAGCCTCTAGGCTCAGCCCCAGGAGAGGCCGGTGTGCACCATCCTGGAGAGCCAGGCACCCCGCAAGGTGGGGCTGTCAGGGTCCACGCGCACCATGGGGTTTGCCAGACCCTAGGCCTCCGCTCCGTGTCAGTCCTCGGTGGCGGTGCTGGCGCCCCCGAGTCGCCCGGGCGGTCCCTCGTTGCCCATTTGATTCAGGCTGGTGGGGGGAGGGCTTCCAGCTAAGTAGGCCCGAAAAGCGGGCATCCTGCGGACTTCTCAGGACAAGGACTACTGCACACGGAGGGCAAGGCCAAGTGTGGGCTCAGGGCAGAGCATGACCTTTCGGAGTGCTCTTGGCTCTTACTCAGAGGCTCAGGTGCTCTGAGAAAGGCGTCCCGCTCGCCAGGGCCCTAAGCTGAAGCACAGGGTCGGCCAGAGGCCAGTGACCATTCGATGAGTCTGGGAGGCTGCAGCCAGTTCAGGGCCTGGCAGGGAGGCGGTGGCCCCGTGTGGGGCCCTGCCGGGGGCCTGTCCTCTGGCCCCTGGCCTTCCCCAGTGTCTCTTTGCACCTTAACGTGCCATTCTGTGTTCCAAGCCCCCTGCAACACGGTCTTCTTTCTGCCTCCTCTCGGTGGTACCAGCTGGCCTGCCCTGTGGGCATCTGGGGCTTTGGAACTCAGGAAGGAGCTGGAATCTGTCCCGGGTTCCTGCAGCGGGCACCTGTTGTGTGCAGGTCTCGGCCTATCGACGTGCAACGATATGGCGGGACTGGCCCTCGTGGTTCTTGTGATGACTGAGGACGCCCTCGGCGCGGCCGTCAGGAACTGGGAACCCACAGGGCTGTGGCTCACGAGTCCTGGAGCTTCCAAGGCACACGGCCAAGTCGTGGTGGGACGGGAGATGCACGGGCTGGGAGTGTGCCTTTTCTGGGCTCAAGGGGGGCATCTGGGGTTTCCCGGGCCCGTCTTCATTGGTCAGTTTACAACACGAGGGCAGGACTCTAAAACGCGAGAAGAAGAGAAACCAGAGACCCGTGGTCAGCTCTGGAGCCCCACCAAGAGCCCTGGAACGAAGGAGCCTCGGGCGGTAGCAGTGCGGGGGTGCGGGCTCTGTATCTAGTCCAGCGGCTGGTGGTGTTTCCCCCAGAGAGCCGTCCTTGAGGTGGGTGCCTTGGCAGTCAAAGCTCCTCAGGCACTTGCACCACAGGAGGAACAGAAGCCACCATCAGAGCTCTGCTGCTGCCCCTCTGGGAGACCCCGGTGGGTGGCGGGTTGCCGCGCTGGGACGGCTGCTTCTGAAGGGGGCGTTGGGCTCTGTTTCCCAGCCTCTCGCCCTGTGTGGCTCTGGGCTATACTTGGCCCAGGGAGAGCCCGCATGAGGTCTGCAGGGCTGAGGTGAAGCAGACGGTTGGTCTCGAAGGTCATGATGGTTCTGTGGTGATGGACGCCAGGGGACCCCATCCAGCATCTCCACACTTCATCCTGCTTCACGTCCACCCCATCAGCCCCGTTGTCCACGAACAGTTCCTTAGACAGTAGCAGTTGCGTGGCCGCTGGCCTGCACAGGCGACAGGTATGTGGGTGAACACCTCACACATCTTCACGAGAGTCTCCTGTGCGTGGGCCGAGACGGGGGGCGGGGGCAGAGAAGCATGGCGTCCATATTTTCCTCCCAACTGGGCTCGTCCCCCCAGCCCCGCCCCACCTCAGCGTCAAATAGACCTGGTTTTAGACTGTCCCTCTGATCGCCAGCCGGCATCGATAAGCAGATAAGCCTCTAAGAGATGGTCGACATCTTTGGTCATTAGGGAAATTAAAATTGAAAACACGATTAGGTGTCTCTAATCAGAGTGACCGAAGTCAAAAACAGTGGCCACACCAAAGGCTGGCCAGGACGGTAAAGAAACCAGATTTTCATATGTGGCCAGTGACAGTGAAAAATGGGACCACAAATTATGGGGAACGTGGTCCGGTTTCTTAAAAACACAACATGCAGCTACCGTCGATCCCTGAATTGCATTTCTGGGGGTTTTCCCAGAAGAGTTGAAACTTCGCCTGTACGAAACCATGCGTGGATGTTTGTCCCAGAGTGGTTTGTAGCACCTTGATCCCCAAAGCAACCCAGACATCCTGGAGCACCTAAACGGTAAAGACACCGTGGTGAGTCCACCGTGGGCGTTACTCGTCAGTAAAGCAGGGCAGCTACTGCTCCGTTATCCTGAATGAGTGTCCTGGGAAACACGGGGAATGAGAAAGGGTCAGCTCCAGAGGTGACTGTCCATGTTTCCTCTTACAGACATCCTAGAAATGACCAACTTCTAGATGCGGACCCCGGAATCGTTTTGTGGGAATCAATGGCCAGGCATTTGTGTGGGAAAGGGGTGGGTGTGTCCGTATGAGGGATGACTGTGGTGTAAGCCTGGTGTTCCCCGTCACCGCTTTGAGAGCCGGTGCCCTTGTCGCGCTGCTGCACTGCTGTCTGGCCACGAGGTACCGTTGGAACTGACTGAGTCCAAGTGCACGGAAGCTTTCGTATTTCCTGAAAACGTTTTGAAGATACAATTATCGGAAGTAAGACACTGAACATCAGAAAAGCAATTTAAGATCTAACGGATCATTAATGACACTAATATTAAAATGGATACAAGTAGGAACCCATGACTTTCAGAACAAACTAAATTCATATGTTTTGCTTCATAGAGGCATGCTTTGAAATGAGAACATAAAAACTCTGAGAATAGAATACAGAACATGATATACAACGTAAATACCGACCCCAAGCTCCTAAGCACGCACTGTGGCAAAGCTAACGTGAACTCAAGGGCGTTGCTTGTGTGAAGAGCAGAACAGCACTGGATGGAGATGAAAGGGTGAGACAACCGGGAAGACACCAGCATCGAAGTGCACACACGCCCGATGATGCAGGAGGAAGAGCCACACCGAAAAATGCTCCCCAGAGCGTAGGAACTGTAGGTAGGGGCATGGTCACAGTGTTGTCGTTAACATACCTCTGCCCATGGCTTCCAGGTGCTAGAGCAAGGGCCCCAAACTTACCAGAGCCATTCAGCTGGGGTGGACCAACTCTTTCTATAAAGGATCAGAAGCAACCTTGCTTACTAGTAGGCCACCTAGACTCGTAGCAAGTGCCCCGCACTGCCTGTGTGGGGGTAGGAGAAACCATGGAGCGTGGGTAAACAGAGTGATCATTCCTATGTCCCAACAGATCTTTACCCATAGACACAGCTGATGGACTGGGGCTGCCCCGCGGGCTCTTGTTTGCCACCCTCTGCTACAGAAGGTCTGAAGGACGCTGGTTACGAAGGAGGAATACTCATGATGTGTGACAGCAGAACCATCCATGACCCAATACACGTCTTTCACAAGATCGCTAATGACGTTTGTGATACTGAGTTCATGCCAGGACCTAATGCAAGCATCTACACGTGTCAAAGGAAGGCATTTCTGCAGAGTTCCTTCTCTGTTACGGCGGACTTAAGCTAGAAATCGTGACTCCAAAGAGAACTGGGGAAACCTCCACTCCTTATAATCACACAGAGCAGTTCTGAATAACCAAAGACCCAAAGAGAAGCCACACGGAAGTTAGGAAAGAAGAAGGACTCCATGATTCTAAAGCTAGGACGTGCGGAAAATGAGTGGAGTGCAGCGAAAGCAGAGTCGAGAGTGCAAATAGACACTCTCGGCCTCTCGTAGAAGAGAGAACGTGTGCCAAGGCCCCAACTTCCGCTCAGGAAGACAGAAGAATAGGAAATCCACCCAAAGAAATGAGGTAGGGAATGTCAGGAAGACAGCAGAAATCCTTGTAATGGGAATACAAAAACCCAGGAAGAATCCCCACAAAGCCAACAGTCGATTCTTTGGAGGGATTCGTAGTATGGGTAAAATGGGGTAGGGGAGCTCAAAGGCAGAAATGTAAAATTCACACTTTCATTATCAGAAATGCAAAGGGGGGGGCATCCATCAGAGGCCACTTTTTTCTTTCCCTTGTAAAGAAAACAAGAAGCCACTATGATAGCCTTCCTGTGACACATTGGAGAATCGTGATGAAATGAATCACACCTTGAAAAACACAGTTGAATTGGCTCTGACCCACAATGAGATTCTAAAGCTGAAGTGCCCTGAATCCTTTCTGGAAAACCTAGAAATGGAAAACCTGGAGAACCTGGAAATCCTTTCTGGAAAACCAACTAGAGATAGCGTCTCTGGCAAAGTCCACTAGCTTCATAGGAGAAATCACTCTACCATACACAAACTCTTCCAGATAATAAAGAGGATTTCTCCCCAACACATTCATGACGACAGTCTGACTCTAACACAAAGCCTAGGAAGGACATTGGAAGGATGGAAACCACAGACGAACCTCTCCTGTGACTAGAGCTGCAGCGGTACTAGCCAGATCTGAACCAATAGAATCCTCCTGTGGATAAGCTATACCACACCCAACGGAATGTTGTATCCTGCATGGCATCCTGGAACAGGAAAAGAACATTAAGGCGAAAAGAATGAAATCTGAATAAAGTGTGGGAAAATGTGCCATAGGATGGCAAACGATGAGAGACAAGAGGGGCCTGGGTGTAGGTGTTTAGAACACACAGACACACACACACAGACACATACACACACTGCAGTGTGGCTTACAATTGAAACCCACTAGTTCAGTTCACCATCTTAGCAAAGAAAATGGGAAACATCACAGCCACAGATGCTGAAAACTGATGAAATCCAGCAACCTTTCCGAATTAAACAAAAAAATTGAAATGGAAGACGAGAGGTCATTTTCTGTCCCAAGGAAAATACTGGAACACTTTTCCCTTGTGGTGAAAGTGGGGTCAGATGCGTCTTGTCACGACCTCCACTTCCATGAGGCAGAATTATGGGTGGCTCAGGAATTATTAGGTCACGGGGAGAAATGATACACACAGCGGCTGGGATAAAGGAAGCAAGCAGCTACTACTCACCAAAGATGATGAACTTTGGACATAAGCAGTGCCTTGGGCAATGGCCCGAAATACAAGGTCAGTACTCAAAAATCAAATTAAAAAACCCATGGTGTATTTATACAACAATGAACACGTGGAAAATGAAATGTGCAAAAACACACATAGCATTTGAAAACCACCACATACCTGGAAACAAACGCAAGCAGATTTCTGCAAGATTTCCATATCGAAGCTGTGAAACAGGTGAAATGGAAGGACTTAAACCAACGGGTGAGCCAGGCTTCTGGGTGGAGCAACCCAGTAGAGGTAGGACAGCTGTTCTCCTCAAGTGCATCCTCAGATTCCATGAAATCCCAGTCAGAGTCTCACCAGGTTAGTGTGTGTGTGTGTGTGTGTGTGTGTGTGTGTGTGTGTGTGTGTGTTGGGGTGGGGGTGGGGGCAAGTTGATTCAAAATATTCAAGTGTTTATGGAACTTTGGGGGCTAGGAATGTCCAAGTCAATCTCATGGAAGAAGAGAGGAACAGAGAACTTGCACTCTTACGCAATATTCTTTCGTCTCGTCAATGCACATGGTCTAGTGTTGGTGTTGGGATTGAAAAATAGACCGACAGTAGAGAAAAGAGGTCTCAGAAAAAGCCACATGCTTTCTGACAACGTTGACCCAGAAGGTTGTAGGGAAAGACACTCGTCGGCACTCACCAGTAGTGGATGCAGGAAATCTTCTTATACACATGATTTACACAGCAGAAGCACTTTCAGATGCTTTCTAGATCTCCATGTAAATAGTAAAAGAACAAAACGTGGGCTTTATTTTTTTGGAAGGGAAATGTAGAAGAATGTATCCCTGGGATAATTAAGAATTTAAGACACCTGAACAATATAGTGCTGATCACAGATGAGGAAAAGCGGTAATGGGATTACATAAAAATTCACAACTTCTGCCCCTGAGAGGATACTGATAAGTGTAAAGATGCCACAGATGAAGAGAAGGCCCTTGAAAACACTGTCTGCCCAAGGGCTTATATTCCGTATATGGAATGAACTTCTTCTACGAATCACTACTTGAACAAGCAGATCATCCAATAGAAATTGGAGCCAAAGGCTTGGAGGCTGTTTACCAGAAAATGATATCCAAGTGGGTACTAAATATAAGAAAAGTCATCCAACGTGAACGTTTCTGGTGGAAATGAAACTCAGAACTATGGTATGGTAACACCAAAAGGAATGATTAAACATTCACAAACAGCTACTTGTGTGGTGGCAAGATGTTGAGGTGGACACGATCCTTTGGAGTATAAATAGGTTCACCCGCTCTGCAAAACTCTTCAGCAATGTCTGCTAAAGCCATATGTATGCATCTTAAGGACTCAGCATTTACCACCATGTCAAGAACTCACACGTGCTCACCTCAAGACGAGGATGAGAATATTAACTGCAGCACTCTGGGGGAGGTGACAGCCAGAAACAATGCTAATGCCCATCAGCGGTCAACCATGGAATGTTCATCAGTGGAAAAGTGTACAAAGGGGAGAGTAAACCATACACAGCACTGGGCTACATCAGGGATGGGTGTCCCAAACACAAAGCAGAGAAAAGAAGCCAGACCCCAAAACAGACAGTACAGGAGTTCATATTCACAAAGTGCAAAAACAGACAAAACTAACACATAGGCTTGGAAATCCAGACATTTCTTATCTTTAGCCTTGGCTGCTTTTAGTGCCTGATGGAGGAACAGAGGCGGGAATTCGGTAGTTTTTATCCAGTTCTGTTTCTGGAGCTCGTGCGAGTTCCATGGTTATGAGCACTTCCTGAAATCCAGTCAGCTGTCGGCTGGCTTATGAGTGTGCACTCTTCCGTAGAACGTTGGACTTCCAGAAACCCTTCATGTGGGAAATAGAGACAAGCAAGTGACGGGAGCTTAGCTGGGTGTTCCTTCCTTTGATCTCAGAGCCATGAGTGGAAATGTCAGTGGTGGCAAGTTACAGGGAGAAAGTATCGGGTAAACACCGGGGTCACAAGGGAGCAGAAGTGGTGAGTGAGCGCCGAAGAATTTAACTCAGGGACTCTCTAAGGAGGCCTCAGATGGCGCCTTGCTCACATGGCCAAGATACACATGCTTGTGCATCTTAAGGACTCAGCCTTGGTGGTTGGCCAAAGCTGTTGGGCGAGCCCACCAGTGAAGGTAATCACAGTAGTTGTGGGACCCTGCTTGCGGTGGAGCACCCTGTCCGTGCTGGGGCGCAGGTTGGCATTAAGGGTGCATCGAGGTTTATATGTTGGGCCAGGAGCTGGGAACACCTGGCCGAGGGTCCCAGGCGGGAGCTCGTCCTAGAGGGGCCACACCGAGTCTCAGAAAATCAGGTGAGGGCCACATGGACGGGGCACTCCACTTCAGGGTCTGTGTGATCCTGTGAGACATGAGCAAAACATTTCTTTGGGCTCTGTTCTCTTTCTAGAGCCCTGAGATTCGTAGGACAAATAATGAACAGGACATTTCATCTGTGCAGCCATGTGCCAAGACACCTTGATACTATTTAGAGACAGCCAGAGGCAGAGATGAGATGGGCGTGTAGACAGAAAACCATCTCCAGGAGAAGTTGTCCATGGAGGAAACAGACCCTCTGGTGGCCTTTCTTGGGCGTTCTTTATCCGTGAAAATTCTAGGCAACGTAGTCACATCTGGGGATGTATAACACTAGTTACTGGGTGAACTGTGCTTTGTTGTTTGCAAGCAGAAAACCTGAAATCAATGATTTTCATGTCTACTTTTTAAGGTTTGAACAGTCGGGAGCTACTTGTTTACAAGAACTGTACGAGCAACTGCACGTTTGTGTATCCAAGCGAAGTGCCTGATGAAGCCCCAAGAGTCTTAAGAACTAACAGCTTCTATTTCATCCGTTGTTGTGGTGCAATGACTTGCAATGAAGGAGGGCCCACTAATATGGAGAGGGAGATCACACAGGACCAGACTATTGAGGATGAGTTAGAAGGAACTGTATGCTTGGGGGTGTCAACACTTTCCCTGAGCATTGCCTGCATCCTGGTCAGCCATACACTGACATGAGAAGCCCTCTGGGAGGGTCTGATCTCTTCCCTCATTCCTCAGAGCAAGTTCACTCTCCTTTCCTCCCTTGTGAGCCAGGGATACTGACCCACAGGGCCCCAGATGGACCAGTTACCCTTTCCCAGCTTATTTCAAGAGAGAAATAAAGAACATTATTGCTTGGGTACTGCTTACCTAGAGATGTGTTTGTGGTTTTAGCATTTGATCTGTTTCTTCCTCTTTAGACATCATCTTGCAAATAGACCAAAACATCTTGTTGCTTTAGCATGCAGAGATAGAGTATTTTTTTAAGTTTATTTTTCAGAGAGAGAGAGAGAGAACATGCATGGGAATGTGAGCAGGGAGGGGCAGAGAGAGGGAGACAGAGCCCCATGCTGGGCTCAAACTCAGGAACCATGAGATCACAACCTGAGCCTAAGTCAGACGCGCAACCGCTCAACCAACTGAGCCACTCAGATACCCCAAGACACTAAGTATTTTAAATAAGGCAAAACAGTTACAGGGGAGAGTGTATGAGTTCGCTCAAAGAGAGGTCCCAGCTATGCTCGGACCACAGGCACCCGAGGCCACCTGAGACTCTGTGCTTTAGTTCTCAGGTGGGGATGATGGAAGCCGAGAGGGAGCTGGGCAAGAGGTGGCACGTGGATATCATGGCCTGACGTTAGAGACTGTGCCCGGTGCCCTGTGTGGGCCAATCAGACAAGTTGTGCACGGGCTGTAGTCCTCCCTCAAAGTTGGGCCTATCCTCCCACCAGGGCTAGAAGGTCTCCCAGGTGCTGACATTTGAGCAGGGGGAGAGGCTGGGAGTCTGCTGGTGACCACCTTGAAATGGCATGGAGACTTCTGTGCTGAGGTTGTCATTCTCCTTGCACATGTGGTGGTTTCAGAAAAGAGGTGTGAGGGGAACAGAAAAGGAAGATCTTCTTAGCCCTCATCCTCTCCTCCTTTTTAAAATCAAACTTGAGTTTAAATTAGATGAAATTCATGTAACATAAAATGCATCATTTCAAAGGTATAATTCAGTGTTGTTGTTTTTTTTTTTTTTTACTATATTCACAATCTTGTGCGGCCATCACCACTATTTAATTCCAGAATATTTCCCCTTCCCCCCAAAAGGAAACCTGCATCAGGTAAGTGGTTTGTCCTCATTCATCTGTAGGTCTTTGCAACCACTGATCTGCACTCAGTCTCTCTGGATTTGCCTCTGCTGGGTCTCTTGGACTTGGTTCCGGAGAGAAGCAGAATCAGTATGAGACATAAATATATGTGGCCAGAGAAGAAGGGAAGAAGAGAGGTATGGGAGAAAAGGGAGTGAGAAGAGAGACCTAACTTCCATCAGGAAAATTAAAAAGGGACTTCTACATACCCTTCATATAGTAAAGCCAAAGCCAAAGAACACAGAAGACCAAGAGTTGATCTTAAAAGCATCCAGAGATTAAATAAGGATCACAGTTAGGGATGTTAGTGCAACTCCCGGGCTACCTTTCGTTGTGAACAATACAAGCCAGATGATACTAGACCCGTGTGTTAGTTCTTGTTTACCGCTGTGACAAAATACCAAATGGAGAGTATGGATCCAACACAGAAGAAACTTATTCCTTCCATAAAGTGTAAAATGAGAATTCCTAGAAGGCAAGTAGCTCTCCTGCTAGCAGTAAATCCAACGTGTACTGTCCAATGTTTCCAGGTCCAGCTGGTGGGAGAGGGCAAAACATGGAGAATTGTGTGGGACGTTTCCATGGTCTAACGCCAGAGGAGGTGCACATGATATTTGTGGCAATTCCATTGACGAAAACTTAGACACATGACTACACCAACTGCAAGGTAAGCTGGGAAGTGTAGCCTGTGTATGTGTCTAGGAAGCAGAGGACGTGTGATTGATGGACAGTTAACATCATCTGCCCCCTTTAACATCTTCAGAAGGCTAAAATAAAAGCACTTCGTAACTGGAAAAAACACTCTACAAAATGATCATTGAAGACGGTGGCTAAAATAAACATTTTCAGATCAACAATTTTGAGATCGACCTCTACCAGCAGAACCTTACTCACAGAAATTTTAAAGAATGATCTTTAGGAAAAATGGAGTTTATCTACTAGGAACATTTTAAATACAGAAAAGAATGGTGAGCACAGAAAATAGTGAACATGTGAGTAAATGGAAACACAAACCCAATCACATCTTTATGGTGTTAAAGAAACAAAATAGAACTTTAGCTAAAAAGAGCTCTAGGGCACCAGGGTGGCTCGGCTGGTTGAATATCTGACTCTTGATTTCGACTCAGGTCACGATCGCACGGTTTGTGAGTCCGAGCCCCATATCAGGCTCTGCGATGACAGTGTTGCGCCTGCTTGGGATTCCCTCTCTCCCTCTCTCTGTGTGCCTGCATTGCTCACATGAGCGCGTGTGCACGTGCTCTCTTGCTCTCCTTTTCTCTGTATTTCTCTCAAAATAAACATAAAAAAATGATTCTATAAAAAAATCTCTAAAGTTAAAAAGATAAGCTCTAAAGTGTCTGCATTTTGTTTTGAGACGCCGTTGAATACTTTTGTATCTTAAGTTACAAAATTCTTTTCAGAATGTCTAAGATAACGACCAAGATGGTAGACATGGAATATATATCTTCCAAAATGGGAGAGAAAGGGGAACAGAGTTTAAAAGTGGAGAACTTGGAGGAGGATTCTGGGAAGAAGTAGGAAGGGCAAAGAACCTGTCTCACCACCTGGACAATGATTGCACTGGCAGAATCAATCTTATGTAACTATTTTGGAAATGTGGCATCTGTTTAAGGCTTGAAACTTCCAGGGAAAGACTTGGACAGTAAGATGTAGTCAATTTGAGCTCTTAGCATGGTAGCAACTACCCATCTCCCACCTCATCTCACAGCGGACACCTGCCCATATGCTCCTGGAGCATCTTGCACACAGCTGTGGGAGCTTGGGTGGACAAAAAGCACCCTGTCTTCCAGATGTTGGGGATCTGTGCTCTGATTGCTGATTGCTGCTTCCAATCACAGAGGTTCCAAGAAGTTGAATGAACTCCAAGGAAGTTGAACTCAATGAGACCCCATCAAGACAGCTTAAAATGAAAATTTCAAGAAACAAAACAAAACAAAACAAAACAAAACAAAAATAGTATCTTAAATGCAGCAAAGAGTAGTGAATCATCCCATACAGAGGATCCTTGAGAAGATCATTAGCTGATATCTCATCATAAATGGAGGCCAGGACAAAGTGATAAAAGAAAAAAATTGTCAATCAAGGATCCTATATCTGGCAAAACTTTCCTTCAAAAGTGAGGGGGAAATTAAGACATTTCCTGATAAACAAAAGTTGAGTAAGTTTGTGCACTCTAGACCTGCTCTGCAAGAGATTTTCAAAAGAATCCTGATAGGTGAAATGGAAGAACACTAGACAGTAATCAAAGCTATGTGGAGAAATGATCTCAATATAGATAAATGCTTTGGCAATTATAAAAGCAAACATTATTGTAACAATAACTTGTATTAGTCCTTTAAGTTTAAACTGTACTTTAACTTTGCTTTCTACATGATTTAAGAGACTAATACATTTAAAGGAAAAAAAGTATAAAAATTACTATTACTGTAACTCAGATTTTAACTCTAAACTTTTTTGCTATGTAATTTAGAAGACTAACACATATAAAAGAATTTTTAGTTTATGTTTGGGGACACACGGTTTATAAAGATGTAAGTTTGTGATATCAACAACTAAAATGAGTAGGGATGGGTGTGTAAAGGAGCAGAGTTTTTGTATGCCACTGAAGTTAAATTGGTATAAATTCAAATTAGAGAGGTACAACTTTAGGATGTGAAAGGTCATTCTCATGGTCACCACAAAGAAACTCACTATAGAATACATACAAAGGGAAATGAGAAAGGAGTATAAATTTCACTACAAAAAAATCAACTAAACACAAAAAAAGACAGGCATGCAAGAAAGAATGTACAAAAAGCTGTCCAGATATAAGAAGTAGGGAGCACAATGACAGTAGGAAGTCCCTCTTTATCAGCAAGTACTTTAAATACAAGTGGATTAAGTTCTGGTCAAAAAACAAAGATTGGAAGAACGGATATAAACATATGACACATCCAATAATGGATAAACAAATATGTGATATATATATACACATATATATATTTAATGGAGTATATATATGGATTGTATATATATGGAATATTATACTTATATAACAGAGTATTACACATCCTTAAAAAGAATGGGATCTCGCTATTTGTGAAAACTTAGCTGGACCTAGAGGGTATTATACTAAGTGAAATAAGTCAGACATGGAAAGACAAACACCATATGATTTCACTTATATGGGGAATCTAAAAAACAAAGGAAATGAACAAACAAAACAAAACAAATCAAAACAGAAACAGACTCATAGATACAAAGAACAAACTGATGGTTGCCAGAGAGGAGAAGGTGGGGGAATGAGTAAAAGAGGCGAAGGCGATTAAGAGGTACAAACTTCCAGTATACAATAAATAAGACATGGGGATGAAAAGTACAGCATAGGAAATATAGTCAATGATATTGTGATAGCATTGTATGGTGACACATTGTAGGTATACTTGTGAGCATAGTGTAATGTATAGAATTCTCAAGTCACTATATTGTACATATGAAACTAATATAGCCTTGTATGTCAACTATACTTCAATTAAAAAAAACAACAAAAATAACCACATGACCTAACTATATGCTGTCTACAAGTGACTCGCTTGAGATTGAAAGACACAAACAGTTTGTAAGAGAAAGGATACAAAATGATATTCCATGCATATAGTGACCAAAAGAGAACGGGGGTGGCTATACCAACATTAGACAAAATAGACTTGAGATTTAAAATAAAAAAGCTTAGACAAAGAAGGACATCATATATGAACAAAAAGTTTCAGTACAGCAAAAAGATGTAATAATTATAAACATTTGCACACATAACAGACCATCAAAATATATGAAGCAAAAAAT